CAATGTTGTCTTGTGCTTTGGTGCGGCCTGTGCTTCCGGTTTTCGTGTAGACCACCGTATTAACGATGGGTTGCCGAACACCGGCCGTTTCGATGCGAGAACGTTGGTCTGTGAGACCAAAAGCCATAGGTTGCTGTTTGCTGATTAATATGCGTTGTTTGCACACAGCGCGGATGAGTCGCATCACAAGACTAGTGCTCTGGCTTCGGCAGCGGCCAAATTGGGGCTCACCATCAACACAAGCAAAACTCACTCTCTTTTTCAGCCTTCACCGGAGAAGCAATCTTCAATGGTGTCGTTAATCAGCATTGGTGCTGAAGTATTAGGAACTACCTCGTGCTTCTGCTACCTTGGGAGTGTGATGTTGACTGGCCATCAGCTACACATTGAGCCACGTATCCGCGTCTCGATGGCAGCGACGGCTTTCGGGAAGATAGAGCCCCGTGTGTGGAACAACCATCTACTTACCGTTGGCACGAAGCTGACGGAGTACGAATCCATGACGCTGTCCTTTCTTCTGTACGGCAACGAAACGTAGACGATCTACCGGCAGGATGTGCGATATCTCGATCGGTTCCAACAACAGTGTTTGAGACGGATTATGCGCATTGATTAGTGCGATAGATTTTCCGATACGGATGTGTTACACCGAAGTGGAATATACGCAGTGGACTGCATACGTTTGCTGAGACTTGAGAAAGCCCGGTCATGTGAGGCGTATGGATTCGACGCGGATACCGATGCAGCTGCTGTATGACCAACTGGGTTCCGGGAAGGGGCACGTTTGGAAACCGAAGTTACTTTACCAGGATATGATCCAACTGAGCCTCTCACGTTCTACACTTGCTTGCACGTTATAGGAATCGAAGACGGTTGATCGGCATGAATGGTGCGAACTCATCTCGAAGGCCGTTGCTGAGGTGCAGGAGAAAGCTCTCAAGCATGCGGAGAAGAATCAGTATGTTCAGAAACGGCAGTCGCTGATGGGTTTTACTCCCTCCACATCGAGCGCATGATGCTGTAGCACATGCAGTCGCAATTTCCGGAGTCAGGCAGTCCTAGTGAGCCATGAGAAAAGTCACTAGGGGCCTTCGCCGTAAATACGACGGGTCCCGCTGAGAACGTAGGCAGAACCGGCGCAGCGTTTGTGGGTACGTTGCATTCAGTTTTCTAACCGCGGGCGTGCATGCTGAGTCCCTTTATTTCAGGTGGCGGGTTTGCAATCTTGTCTTAATGCTTTTTATCTCATATAATTGTTTTCCTGAACTCTCTGCTATAAACCTGCACACGTTCCGTAAACTAATTTTTTTAACTTCGATATTATATTCGCGGTTGTGGCATTTTCTGGAAATATATATTCTGAGGTCTTGGACATTTCGTGGATTTGTTCGTAACACACAATATTTGTGTGCATTTAAAATTTTTCCTAATACTGGTAGCTCCGTTTCATTATTTAGTTGTTTATTTGTTCACCGAGCTTGGCGTTTTCGTAACAAAACTTTCATCACCATGAAAGTTTGTATCCTCAGTGCAGGGAGATGCAGCGTAAAATCTTACTGATCTGTAGGTCGATCACTGATGGACGATTTATTCAGTATCATTCCAAGCCGCATCTGCGTGCATTAATCACCTTATTTCATTTGATAACGTCATTTCAATTGATTGGCTATTGCTTGAAATCGTCGAGGTGTTTGCGCTTGATGCGCATGTTTACTAGGTGCCTCGTCCATACTGGCTCAAGAAGACCGTTGGTCGTTGCCGGAGTGGATGGAGTGCACGGTCTTCGTGGCCTTGCTAGGCTCGACGCATGGTTCCAAGCACTCAGTGTGAAGTGGACTAATGTCAAGCCACCGCCTTCTGTGCGATTGATTTCCAAATGCAATGTGCCTGTGTTTGCCTGTTTAGGAGTGTGTGCCAGCTCCGTTGATGTAACGTGGCTCCCATCCACATGACTCTCGGTCTTATTCCTTCGGGTTTACGCTGGATATGGGGTGTATGGATTGAGTTGTGAGTGATGCAATGCAAGCCATCCATGGTCCCTCTGTAGACCCAGGGTTCCTATGGCCGTCCTATGGAGACCACAGTGACTAGCAAATCAGCGTCCGGATGCCGCCAGTCATATATATAAGGAGCAAGTAGTGAGTACTACAGCAAACGCAACAAAATGGCTGATAATATATTGCTAAGCTTCCTATTATCGATGCGTAATGAGAGCTTTATTGAAGGGGTGAAATCAACGGTAAGAGGATGGACTGGGAAATCCAAAACACAATCGCCCCTGTTGTCCGTTCTTTGTCATGCCAACAAATGTATCCAACCAAAGGTTTCAGCGTCCTTCGAACGCCACCTGTGCAGTCAGGACACAGCATCCGACGACAATTTAGAAATGAGGGACTTTATTCGTCTTGACCAGGTCATCCACTTGCCCCCTCTTCTTCTTCCATCAACAGCCCCGGCGAGCAAACCAGTCGCGTCGCGTGACAATGGTTCGTAATTTAATAGTGCTGAGCAGTTCATTCGATCTTCCTTCACTAAGTACCAGACACTGGACACATTAATTGCTCAAGCGATGCTCCCATCAGGCATGAGCTATGCTCCGAAGGCAGCGATGGTCGACCTGATAAGCCAGAGTTCATAAGAGTTTGGCAGCGCTGATGCGACGTCTGTATTTAAACTTTGTTCTTCAGATCGACAGTGATGTCACGCCGGCACCACAGGTGGCGGTTACTGGTAGTGGCGTATCGATCTTCCGCTATGCGGTTTGTGATCTCATCTTTAATTCATGACGGCCCTTTGTAACTGTGGAAATATTGAAATTCTGGAAGACTGCTAACTGACACCCACCAAGTTTGGCGCAAGAATGAGTCCTCGCCAAACTTGGCGAAGAAATTTGCCTTTAGACGGTGCAAATTATGTACCCAAATGACCATCAGAAGGTGATAATCTGTCCATTACAGATTGGCACGCTCGGGAGCTGTCACTCATTATGCCTATGACGTCCGCACAATCCAAGCTATGAAGTCTCTGAACCGGAAGCTGCTGCACACTTAATTCGTTTTAGTGAATGGCAATTCAATTACATTAACATGCCGAAGTTAATGTGGTAAGTCAACGGCGGGCCACCTTGCCTCACACCGTTGTAGGTATCAAGCAAAGGCGTCAGTTTAACATTAACCCTTACTTTTCCCGGACCAAACGTGTCCAGCGCTCCTACATTGTTATTTACTAATAAGTATATATATATATATATATGTATATGTATACATATATATATATCGTATGCACCTTTGATATGCAGAAACTCGGCGACTGAGGGTCCTGCGTATTTGTACCGTTGTTCCAACAATTGGCATACTGTGAGGAATTTGTCCATACGGCCTCGTATGCAAAGAAATCCCACCTGCACTTGGCGAACTTAAATTTCACTGGTGCCGGTCAGTCTGTGCAGCAACTTAGTGGCAACTGAGATCAGATTGACTCCGCGCAGATTGCCGCAATCCGAATGGCAGCCGCCTTCGAAAAGCTGCACTATGACGGTGAGACTCAAGTTTGCTGGGACAGTTTTCTGCTCCTACTTCTTAAATGGTTTATTGTACAGTATAACTACAAGAGCAAGTTCCCCAGATTTATGGAGATCCGGAGGAAACCCTTTTGCTCCTGAAATCTTATTCAACCACCAACAATCTATTTTCACATTCGACTTTCGCGCGTGAGAGCGGATCAAATGGGACGACCCAGAGTGTAGGACGATCAATGACCAATGACTGAAATGGTAACTGGTTGATTAAACTGCCTTTCAAAATGTTCGAGCCAACACTCCAAGCGTTTTGACTTACAGTGGATTGGCAATCAACTCTAGTCGCATATGGTTTCTCTAATACCAGGTCTCCAGCTGCGTGTTTCACGTAGCAGACGGAATAACCTACGATGGCTATCAAGGGTAGGGGCTGTCACCATCTCGGTTTGAAGTTACGTCATCACCAGACAAGCGCAGTGGGACTATGCTGCTGGTGTCTTATGTGGGGACTGCAGGGTAAGCACAGAAGTCAAAAAGTGCAGGTGAATTTCCGATAAACAACAGATACCAATCAGTAAGGAAGCTGCTTTTCAGACAACTATTGTCTGGTGGGCAATCTGCAACAAATTGGGTACATGGAGGCTTCCCAGTCTTCATGAGGATCGAAAGCTCCAAATTGAAACGGATGAAATGACGTTGAGCGTTTTGTTGTATATACATTTGTTGACTGGATTAGACGGACGTCCTGTAATTGAAGGTAAATTAAATGAAGACGACAAAGGCCTTATTGAAGCAAAGTGTAGAGGGGCTAAGAGATAAGAGTTTTGAAACAGCGGGATACAAGTGCAGTTGGAATAGGGAGATACGGATGAAAAAGCGTAGGAGGAGTAGTAAGTAGTAGGTAAACCTGAGCAGTAGCATCCTATCCTCTATCCATCCTGCTCCATGCAATAACTGGGGCGGTGTTGATTAGTCTGTGCTACGCCCAGAGCATCAAGAGGATGTTTGATGGAAAAATCATAGGGTATTGCGCAGGCAGAATACTGCCAAGTTGCCCAAGCCTAGACAAAAGAAGGCTTATGGTACACAAGAAAGGCCCTTGGTTCATAATCCAGACAGCAAAGCAGCGGCTTTTAGGGTCCTGGGCTACCTAGTGTCCGTTTTATGTAGTAATGGTGTATGCTTGTCACAAACAGCAGCCTAGAGTGCAAGGAGACTGAGTTTGTCTGGCCTCTAAGCATTGACCAATCCGGTATGAGGGGCTCTGAATGTGCAAAAAAGCACCACAGTGTGCAGCTGAATGGATCGATACGGGACGTAAACCATCGCACTAAGTCAAGGTCCCGTCTGGTCGCAATGTTGTCAGTCATAATTTATGGTTCATGATTCATTGTGGACACTAAGTGAAATGAGTAATGTTGCACTTCACACATGGAACTGGTTTCCAGCTCTTACCGCGCACTTACTTCACACCCATTGACAGATAAGGTCTCCTAGTTCATGGATTCGTGTCCTCGATGGGAATACCTGCGGTGGGATGGAACTAGCAAAATTTGGAGAAAAAGACCCTATTCCTCATTCAGGTATCAACTCCACCAAAAATGTAATGACTATCGTCTATTCATCCGCCTTTTCACCGACAAGAGAAACCTTCAACGCATCTTTTTCAGAAGGTAGGTATTTGATAATCACTTGCTCTTATTGAACAGAACCTGTATCACTGTAAACAAACAGCAAGTTCGTTCAATCGAAAACATCGCGATCATTGTACCCAGTCCGTTTGTCTCACGATCTTACAGACGCACAGATTAGCAGTTCCAAAGGAACATCAATCAAAGACCGATTCCAAGTGGAACTGAAATATGATGGGATGCGCATATCTAATTTTACTCAATGTTGTCCAGTAACCAGACACAGTTACTGCGTAGGCAAGTTACAACATTAGCCTAGCATACACACATTACCAACGTCAAGCTCAGTCATTTTTGGAAGATATAAACAATATCTCATACATTCTTCTAACCATTAAGGACATTCATGATGGTAGGAATTTCAGCACCATCATTTTAACAGGTGCAATCTACTACTAACATGTAACCTTGTCACATGCCGGCCCGCAAAACCTTCTGGACCCTGATAGAATTGGAGTCTGTACTACTCGCGCAGTGTTGAAACTCGCCACTTTTACAAAAATGTACGCGGTAGCTTAATGGACAGCGTTTACTGAATTCATCGTAACCCATGATGCTTTGAAACCCTTCAGTTACCTGCATGCTTCCGTTTCATTTATTTCAAATTATACCAGAAGAAGTCACAACTACCGTGACTCCCACAACGACTAACGATACTATAGCGGAAGGCACTGTGAAATCGATCACAAATGGTAAGCGTCAAATAAAAACACCATTGGCTCCACCTTTAAGAATTGACTACCTGAACAACGAGTCGTTTAGGGTGTTCATGTAGTTATTACAGCCACACTGTCTATAGTACACTGGTTTAACTCCAACACCCACCTCAAAGGTTTGCGGGATAGTAAACCTCCGCCATAAAAATCGAAAAATAGCAAGTGCCATATTCTAGGGAATGCAACGAATCTCATGACTAGATTATGTTGTCCGAATAAACCCAACTTACTAAACCAGCCGAATGGAACTTCTGTTTAGATATATTTCCCATACGTACTCAAATGTAGCAGTTTCCAAGCTCACGTTTCAATTAATAATTATCACGCATGATCTCCATTAGTGATTTCATGGGGAAACTAATAATCCCAATATATCATGAGGCTTCCAGTCTTTGTAGAAGACATACAGAATGCTAGTGTTTAGTTTCTGTGCGGAACTCGTACCAACTGATAATTTTTACTTCAATCCATTAGAAGGCGTACATTTTTGCTTGGGCAAAAATTTCATGAAGATGTGGAATTTGTGTTGGTCCCTTAGAGTTTGTGTGCAAAACAATCTCCTCCTGCTTTTTCCTTCCAAAGCTCCCACAAAGCGAACATAATGCGACAACTACAACCACGTAATTGTTCAGCAAGCATCAATAAACTCTTCTGATGCAATTTTTCAAACTGATTGAGATGTCAGGTATCTACATTTGGCGACACGCTAGGAATATGCAAATTGCTGAGCAAAAGCACAGCTACGTACCACGCTTACTATGACGGTGTTGTCACATAGAAATCAGTCACAGTCAGGCGGATAACAGAAAAACTATACGTTGTCTTACTACATAGGCAACTAACCTTTACTGAACACACACTTTAAATGCTGGTATAAGTAGCAAGGTTTTGTACGGAAGTACGTTTGAAGATTGTAATGTAAATGCTTGTGTGAAGTTGGCGATGTTTTGAGTATTGAATTCCCCAAAACATGATGCTCACTTGACAGAGTTCTAACGCTTATGTTTTCCAAATGAATGTTGCTGTTTGTTACTCACCCCTATGTAGATGGATCCACATCTTCAACGGTGACACGAGGTCCTAGTTTTGAAATCGATTATAGAGATGAATACAACACTTCACTTGGTGAGTGTCGCACAGTGGGGCTTTTAGTTTACACAATTTGTTGGTTGCTACCTGCCTGAGTTCGAAGTTCGCAGTGCTTCATTCATATTGTACAAACAAAGTGGTCAAATGGACGGTTTGGATAAAACAACCAGCCTTATCACCAATGATAGAGTATATTGTGTATCATGCACTCATTTGGCAGAGTAATTGCGTGGTGAAACCCGAACTTTCTCAGTTTTTTACATGATATTGACAGTGGCACACACAGCAGAGATGTTAACTGCAAATAATTCTGTGTCTAATTTGTTTCAGGTACAATATTCCAGCTTGATATACCCTACACATTGCTCGGCGGCATACTCTTGTGCGCGTTGCTAATTTCATTTGGTCAAACGGAGTAAACGGGAAGACACAGTTTGGCGTAGCACCGCTTTTCGTTGGGTGTTTCCTTACAATGTCAAGTTTAAATTTGTGTCTTTGTTAACGTATGCGTGTGGACTTCGTTTGGTCAGAGGAATTGAACCGGAAGACCTAGTGTTTTGCATGACACTGCCTTGAACTATAATTCTACTGACATTATTTCTTGTGGCAAATGAAATTTTGTTTGTGCGTCCCTTTAACTACTATGTGTGCCACATACTAGTTTAATTTCATTGTTTCCATACGATACGACAGGACATCAGTCGAAAACATTTTGTGGTATGAAAACATGGTCAGCAAAGTCAACTTTATTCCAATCGTCTAAGCACCAGCGTTCATTCAATCTATTGTGTGTAGTTTGAATTCGGCATTTTAAAAATAATGGCTAGAGGTCGCACAGAAAATTGTCCCTCCGATTTAAGCGAGGAATAACTGGGTATCGGGACCGTTTCATTGGGGGGTCACCTGGGGGTGGGGGGTCACCTACCCTCTGTACGCCTCAATGGAAGAAACCTTTGTGTACAAGTCCGGATGGTGATGTTTCATGGAGGAAAATGTCGTTGTCACTACAGAAGAATACATAAGGAATCTGGCTACCCTCAGACACCAATGGGCAAACACCGTGCCCTTCCAACATCTTTGCCACCTCCGACACTTCACATGAGGTCGCATTTCCATGACAAATGCGCAACTTGCTCAGTTCCACACAGGTTACACGTTTGCCATACTCCTGAGAGATGAAGCGCCTCAAATCAGGCGTGCACCTTGGATTTGTAGGATTCGTTTCTACATGCGTTACTCTCCGTGTTGCATTAATATTAACTTACCGCTTGCCAGGCAATCCTGAACGTCCAAAATGTACGCAACCGTACAGGATGTAGCCGTTGCCATACCCATCCAGCAACTGCTTGCGCCTTCCACGCTGGAAAAACAGGTCAACGATTTCATCTGAAAACATCCGGATTGCTCCTCCATGTCTTCAACACTTTCATGCTTCCTAATAGCCAAAGATCTGAACAGCTCACCATCATCCACAGCCATAGCGGTAGCAGAAAAAACAACTATGGCCACCGAAATATTATAACAACTATCACACATTTGTACCCTTACCGGTAACACTTCCTATGGCATCATAATTAACACACAATCCATTTCTCCACACACCATCCAGCTATTCCCAGGTATTGCACATTCATCCTCCTCGACAACGTCGCTAGGTAACCTCGTTGCTATGTGCCATTTGTACCACGGGACGTCCCGAAGCAACACAATTTTTTGTTACGGTAATCATACGGTCCCGGTCTAAGATTAATTTACTGAAACTAACATACTGTAACGTAGCAGTTCTCTAGAAAAACAATCTTCAGCTGTTGGGTCACCACCGCCCAGCATATATAAGCCTTTCCAAATAAATGTGCAAAATATGGTGACATGTTTGCAATGAGAACTGATGTTGTACAAAAACAGAAGTGGAAAGTCAAACGTAAAGCCCCACAAGGTCAACATCGCAATGGTAGCCGCTTTTTATCTTTCCAATAATATTCAAAGACAAAAGTTTCGACCGGGTCAGTTGTTGCCGATATAAATTAGTGGTCTAAGCCAAGCGTATTTTCGACAGTTGAGGAAGAAATATATCAAAGTAAGTAAAGGAACTGCACTTCCGTTAAACTATTAAGCATTCGAATACTACATTTGTTCGGTGTCAGTCGAAATCATGTGGTTGGGCCATTGTAAGCATCAATAATACATTGTTGCGGTTAAAACCTCCGCAGTCGATCTATACCTCATAGACAATAGCCCTTCAACTATTACATTTCCAGCGAAGCAGGTCAGCAGTAGCGCTTTTTGTCCGTAACGACAACAAATCCATGATGTCTCTAGGTCATAGAGCGTAAATATTCAACTGTTTATCTACGCATATGAGAAACTGAATCAGAACTAAAACCAGTGTTTTCCATCGAGGTATACAGATCTTGTGTGGAATAAAGCAGTTTTCATTGGCCTGTTGTATGCTGTAGCCACAAATTATCCACGGTTCGTTTGCACAAACCGTGACAAAAATGTGCCAGTGTCGGACACTTGAATTCAAGAGACAATCCATCAGTTAGTTTGCAAATGACAGCAATATGGCGTGAGCACCAATTACTAATTAGTGTTACACATAAAATTACAAAGAGGATTCTTGTATTTTAACAAGTCAGGTTTATTATCTAGGGCCTAATGTTTGAAAGGAATATACCGTGACACGCCGGTACCTTTCAAAAGGAATGAAGAACTTCACCGATATAACAGTAGCTGCTGGGTCGCAAATTCACCTGGACTGCATACGCCTTTTCCAAATAAATTTTCAGCAATTCTAGGATTGTTGCTGTGATCACTCTACTTGTAGTGATTAGCAGTGAAGACCGGAAAGTCAACATGTTCTCAGACCGTAGCGAATCAGACCCATTCTAATATGCAATGGTCTGACACAGTCGTCGACACATGCGTGTAAGAACATCCTATATTTGGTCCACTGTGGGTGTATCTCTCGACGCCGCCCACCGTTGTAGCTTTGTGCCAGTGTTGTGGCGGACAAACCAAGAGAACACATTTGTATGCGTGAATGTACAGTAAAGTAATAAACCGGACAATACTACTGACGTAATTCCTACCTGCTAATTGGTGAGATGAGGTCCTGCACATCAGACCTGCTCACTGTACTGTGCGAAGAATCACACAAAAGAGCGTCAGCAACGTGGACGACAGTAAATTGGCTATTGGGTGAAGGGGAAAGATAAATTGACTCACATCTCACTTGTAGCGGATGTATTCGCTAGCGGAATCAAATAATGGTTATTTGTCAGTTAAAAGCTAACCCTTTACATGTGAGTTACAAGCAACAATAAAGTTATAAAATATTTTCAGACTACATGCTTGTTGTAGCGCTGTCCCCGTCTTTTGTATCTGCGCTGTTAACGCAGATGGGGAAGAAACAAACAGCCGAAGCCTATTAGACCGAAGTAAAGTGGAAACAGAACAAGGTTAGTTTCAGTCATCACATTGCTTTCATCTCCGGCTCCTACTTTCTTTCGCTGACCCACACCACTTGCATGGACAGATTCAAAAACTACCAGCGGTCCGTACTGGCCAGAAGTAGTCGCGCTCACTCACGACTGCCACATAGCAAACTGTGTCATGCTGACGGAGGGATTTCAACAGCTTCCCCTGTTATATAGCAGCGATACCAACGTCAGGGTATCAACTCATGTAATGAAGACGGACGTCTCGAAAATGTGCCGCTATTTGGCAGGATGGTTGCAACCTCTATCAGGGAGAACAAATAGCTTCGTACGGAACTCTTTTGAGTTCGCGCGAAAGGTAGCAGGTCTAGACATCGCGCAAGACGAAATAATAGTTAGTTTCGACGTTAGTTCCCTATTCACTAACGTGCACAAGGATGACGCATTGTGTATAGCACAGCGTTGTCTTACTGAAGACAATAGCCTGGAGCAGCAAACGAAACTCACGGTAGATCAGATAATCGATGGAATTAAAGTATGCCTTAATATGTCGTATTTTACTTTCAATTCGAGACTTTACTCTCAATAACAGGGACTTGCCAAAGGGTCACCAATATCCCCCGTATTGGCAAATCTGTATATGGAAGACTTTGAGAGAAGGGCGCCGACAAACTCCAGTAGTTCGCCAAATATTTCGTGGCGCTACGTGGATGATACCTTTGTGATTATGAAGCGAGATATGAAGGATGCGTTCCTAGATCATCTGAATTCCATTAGTGGAAATATCAACTTTACTATGGAACTAGAATCTTGCAGTGGCACACTCCCATTCCTCGATTGCCTAGTTCACAGGATCGGTGGACGGCTAAAGACGACGATATATCGCAAGCCGACAGATACGGACGGAGTGCTTCATTACAGTTCGGGTTATCCAAACAAGTCTATGCCGCTATCGCATCCTCACTGTTTCACAGAGCCCAGACTCTGTGTACAGAGGAGGAGGACATAGAGGCCGCTCGTAAGGAGACGGTGAGCAAATTAGTAGACAGTAAATATCCGAGGCGGTTAGTGAATCGCCAATTGCCGAGCGCTCTAAATCCACCTCCGCGCACAACGGTGTGGATTGGGACAGTGGGAATCCCCTATAAAAAGGGAACCTCAGAAGCAATCAGACGAGTACTAAACAAGAGAAACTAAGAGGGGTTTTTCGAAAGGGCCAGACGCTCTATTCAGCACTTTTGCTTTTGAAGAATCTACTTCCAAGAGACAGGACAACAAATTGTGTTTATAAAATCTATTGCAAAGACTGTGAACACGTGTACATAGGTCAAACGGCGAGAGAGCTACGCACGAGGATAGCAGAACACAAGAGGTACGTTTCGCGTCCACCGAGAAATGAGCCTGAAAACAGGGCCCTACTAAAAGATTCAGCAGTGGCCGTACATGCGCTAGAGGCAGAACACGCGATTGATTGGGAAAATGTCGAGATACTTAGGAGGGGATTACCAGCAACAGGCCAAAGGTTAATTGCTGAGGCGATGGAGATTACCAAGACTAATAACTGTGTGAACAGAACAGACGGGTGGAGTTATCGAATGTGTGGCGGACTGTGTTAACCCGGTCAGTCAGAAAAGGTGTCGGCGGACGAACTCAGATAGGAGAGTGAATCAGCAGCTGCAAGGAAAGTAATGCCTCACATGTGAACGACCGATAATGTGGATCAATGAGAAATGCTCGATGCTTGTTGTTTCATTAGCGTGGCCACTTGACCTATTGACCTGTAACATTATTATCCAATTGTTCATGTTATGCCTTGCAACCTTCAACTTACGTTCCCATAAAAAGCTAAGCCAATTTTGTAACGATTCACCTGACCTGAAGAAGCTCTTGTGTCAAGGGCGAAACATTGCCACAATAAAATCCTAGCAAAATCGATTTGTATTCAAACCTTCCGCAATCATGAAATCATAGTCGGTTCCAAGCATATTCCGAGATATTGTGTTAAGTTGTTTTGTTGTAGCCGCCGATTAATTCCATCGGTGCTTTTACGCTGGTATGGTGCTTTAAGTAGCGCCAAGCCCTAAAGCAAGTTAACATTGTCGTTTTTCATCAAGTTATTTAGGGTATGATGGGTGGGCTAGACACTACGCACGTTGTCTAGGGTTAACTGATTAAGTTTTGAGGGTGAA